TGAAAAAAATTAGTGCTTTAATTTGTCAATCCGTTCCTTGTGGGTTTGGTTTTCATGAATCATTTCAATAACAACGGCTCACCCCTGCCAGCTCCAGTCATTTCTTCTATACTCATAGGAAGAAAATTAAATATGTAAATGAAAAGAAAAGAGGTATAAAAAGGCCCAAGAAAATAAAATAAGGTGATCTCATAAGCATGACAGGAAGGGATCACACAAATGGACAGACTAAAAAGATTTATTTTCCAAAACAAAAGATGAAATCTGCCTCTCAGTAGCATGATTCTTAAAAGTTCTAACTTTTATACTCAGCATCATGTTTTAGCAAATATGTCTTATAAAGTCTCACGGAATTAATCCTCTCAATTTCAATCTATGAGTCACTAAAGCATATCTCAAGAGGAAATATAAAAGAATTGATATTAAGCTATTAATTGTTCATCAGCTCCTTTCTCTGATTTAGTTTCTTTCTCTTTTTTTTTTTTTAACTAAACTAATGTAGAATTGTATTTGATAACATTGAGTTTTCCTTTCTTTGAACATAGTGAAAACTTGCATAATTATGAAATTTTTAAATGGTTAAACCTTTTGCTATTTATTTTCATTCGAGTCCAGTATATTATTATATATATTCGGAACTCAAACTATTCATCTTCATCTTCAACCTTCAATTAAATTCCACAATGCAAACCTCTTGGCACTAAAACCACGTTTCATGTTTATTCAACTGAGCCTGTGTCTTGAAAAAGTGTTGAAGTTTAGGGGTTTTCTGGCAAGAATCCACGTTCTGACATCACCTGAACCATGGCAGGGATTGGCTGTTGGAAGGCAAAGAAGAGTTTATAGCCAGCAGGGGCAGGAGAATGAGTAAGTGAGAGAGAAGAGAAAATACTCAATCCGTGCTACTCTCTCTGCCTGCCTCCTCGCTCCTGAATTGCCAAAGGGTAAGGTTTAATATGACAACTTCATTATCTTAAAATCAAGACACTCCACGGTTTCCAACTCTGGACTTGTCTTTGAAATTTTCATTTAAATATTGATGTCATTTTATTGCATTGTGTAGAATAGCTATGGATTGATTTAACACTTGTTTGTCATTAATTCAGCACCTCAGATCCTACATTCTCTCCAAAAGGCATGTAAATCAGTTCTTAATAGCATGCACATGAACTTGAAGGTTATGCTTCTTACTTTCTATCTTTGCACCTCATAGATAACTTTGTTTTCTCATTCTGATGCATTCAAGATAATCTGACTGAAATACTATTTTGCAATTGCAATTCCGCCTAGATAAATGCAGATTTCTCCATAAATTATACCTAGTCTATATTTCACTTATGTATGTTACCTTTTCAATATGTTATACATTTGGTTTCAAAGTGTAGATATCTATAGCTATAAAATCAGTGCAGAAATATATATATTATACATACATATATATATATTACTAGGGAAACAAATAATTTTGGTAGTTTATCATACTCATCCCAAGAAAAACTTGTAATTAAATTCTCAAAACTATCTTTTAAGAATGTTGGAATTGTTGTCTGGGTTAGTCATGGTCACTATAGAGGTCTTTGCTTTTTGGTGAATCACAAAGTAAATAAAATAAGATTTACGTAGGCAGCCAGTTTCTCTTTAATTGAAACACTTGGTTCTTTTTTTTTTTTTTTTTTTAATTCCTGCCATGTTTTTTCATCCGGTTCTTTTTATGGTTTGTTGTGAGAAATTTATGTAATCAAGATTCTTTCTACAGTTCTATTTATTCAGTTTTTAGCCCTTTAAAATACTATAAGTATTGCAACCTTTTTCATAAAGGTGCAAAACAACCAACTTCCTGTTTGCAGATGGGCTCATTGCCACGGGTGGCCAAGTTCAAAACGTTATTCAGAGCACCCCAATAGCAATGGAAGCTTCTTAAACAGATGGGCCACTTTCAGGGGCAAAGCACCTTTATTCTCATGTGGCCATTAAGAACTTTTTCTAAGACAGAGAGATCCATGAGGAAGTGTCTAGGCACCAAAATCAAAAGATCCACTCTGCTACCCAAAGAGCATGACTTAGGATCTACAGGCTTCAAGTCTTACTCTGTGCCATGTTTATTTTAGTGTCAGACACTCAATAATGCAATAAAAGATGCAATACATGCAATACATGCAAAAGATGCAATACATTTTGGGTGATCAGGGCAGAATACAAAACTCACCTGCAGGGTGCAATATATGACATGAATTTTATCCATTTTTAAATCTTACTTTTCAAAGTGCGTTTATGGGGAAAACTGCCAACACCATTGCATATTGCTTCCAAAATGTCGCCAAGAATGTGCCAACGGTTAAATAAGTATGTCAGGGCAAGCGGGTGAGTGTTAGCAGGCTTTCAGCTATGTTTGTTCAACCTCGATTATGATAGCATTTTTAAATAGAATTTTATTAAACGGAGTAAAATTAAAATGCAATAGGATTTCACTCTCTGTCTTTATTCTATGGAATTTTATGTGGAATTGAGGGTCTCTGCAAGGCTGCAAACCCCAAGAGTGTTCAGGAACTAGTCCCACTTTGAGAGCTGCATCTTCAGGGTTCTGTAGAATCGAAGTCTCCATCCATGTCTATCCCCCTGTCCCTGGAGAGTCCCCAATCTGTCCCGCTACAATCTCATACACAAGCAGATGGAAAGCTTGCATGGAACTGGAGAACAACTGAATTCGAGCAAATTTGCCCCCTCACTTCCCAACGTGAATCTCTGAAAAACTCTTCTCGTGAAATCACCCGTAGGGGCTTGGCTGGTGGATATCACAGTCTATGAGAAAGGGGATCAAATTTAACTACCAAACAACTAAATACAACCTTTACTGAAATTCAGCCAGGAAGACTGCTTACTACAAAAAAAGAATAGTATTTCAAAAAAAGAATAGTATTTCATAGGTAATAGATCCTTTCTGCCCACTACCCACAAAATGCCAGTTACTCCAAGATATTCATGGGAAGATGGCTCCTACTCTGCATTTTAGTCCAATGGAATTAGTTCATGAGTTTTTAGTTCAAAACTTATACAGAAGCTAGAAATTACCTGCAGAATCATTGGCATAAAAGAGACCATTTCAATGTATTGGATTTCTGCTTAGTTTTTAATTATAAATGAACAGGGTGTGTACGTACACCAACAATTCAATTCACTTAGTGGATTCTCCTAGGTCAAGGATATGAAGAGACGCCCCACCCCCACTGCAAGTCTCTTGCAGTGATTTAATAGTTTTCCAATGACAAATCCCAGAAAACAGGTTAAAACCAAATATGGAACTCCAGATTATTCAAGCATATGGTAAAGTCAGTCTATACTACTTAAATGGAAGGAATAATTTGAAAACAAAAACAAAAACTTGGTTTTAAGCAGTCAAAATGATAATTAGAAATGAAACATTAAATGCTTCATCTTTGAGTATGTGCAAAAGAGCTATTCTCTTAGTTTGAACATTTATTAACCTTACTGCTTCATTAATTCCAGAAGCAATCATCAACATGAAGACTGCTTTAATTTTGCTCAGCATCTTGGGAATGGCCTGTGCTTTCTCAGTAAGTTCTTTATTTAAAAATCTACTGTTATTTCCATTTTTGTCTTTTTATGTAAAAGAAAGGGTATATCATAATTAAATGTTCTTTTAAATAGATGAAAAATTTGCATCGAAGAGTCAAACTAGAGGATTCTGAAGAGAATGGGGTAATTGATTTTTTGCATACTTCCTTGGCCTGACCATAATTACTCTAGATTTACTGTACATTAAACATGAATATATCATTATTTTGTTTATGCAGGTCTTTAAATACAGGCCACGATATTATCTTTACAAGCATGCCTACTTTTATCCTGCTCTAAAACAATTTCCAGTTCAGGTAAGTATAAAAATGAATTTTCCTTCAGTTTAATGTCCATTTTAATTTAAAGGGGATCAAATTTAACTACCAAACAACTAAATACAACCTTTACTGAAATTCAGCCAGGAAGACTGCTTACTACAAAAAAAAGATTGTTTTTCTTATAATAAAATAAGGTTTATTTCTAAGTTCTCTTTTAAAACAGAAATCTACACAGAGTGAAATCATTTGGGTCCAGTCCAGCATGATCTAATAAAAACAAACACCTTGGTACATTCAGTTCAAGTGTCTTCGCTAACTTACTGACAAAAAGAGGGCAGTTTTATCAGTTGTTGACAATTAAATCAGTGATAAGATTGTCATATTACAGTTGATTCAATACTGTCATATAGTTGTTTTATATTCAGTACTTCAGGCCAGGCGTGGTTGCTCACACCTGTAATCCTAGCACTCTGGGAGGCCGAAGTGGGAGGATCGCTCAAGGTCAGGAGTTCGAAACCAGCCTGAGCAAGAGTGAGACCCTGTCTCTACTAAAAATAGAAATAAATTAATTGGCCAACTAAAAATATATAGAAAAAAATGAGCCGGGCATGGTGGCGCATGCCTGTAGTCCCAGCTACTTGGGAGGCTGAGGCAGGAGGATCGCTTGAGCCCAGGAGTTGGAGGTTGCTGTGAGCTAGGCTGACGTCACGGCACTCACTCTAGCCTGGGCAACAAAGTGAGACTCTGTCTCAAAAAAAAAAAACAAAAAAAAACTTCAGAGTCTTTTAATTGGCAGGAGAAAAAAGTTCACTTCATAAACATCATAGACCACTAAAAAAAACAAAAAAACATTAATAATGGTAATTGCTGAAGATTTTCTAAACCTTTGTTTAGAAAAGGTGTTCTAAACCCTTGTTTAGAAAAGGTGACTTGTGTGGGTCACTAGAGCAAGGTGCCATACCTGAGAACATAATTATAATGGAAGCTGGGCCCAAGAACTACAAAGGAAAGAGAAAAAAATCCACCAAGTGTCCTAACAAGCTTGTGAGAAAAAAACGAACCTCCCCTAAAATTTGTAAACAAAAAAAAAAGGAAAATAACTAAAGCTAAAAATAAGAGTTTCCATGTTGACCGAGTTACCTGTCAAGAGTCCTTTGAGAAGTGGAGGGTGTGGTGTTGATTTTAAATATACGACACACCAGAATGGCGCTGTTTTTAGCACTATAGGGTTTGGGTTCGAGACGCCAGCTGGGCACCATTTGACCCAGGACTCTTGGGACATGGAAAACAGTTGGGGTACTGAAAACGATGGCCCAGCACAGTGGCTTGGCATTGCATCTTACCATATGCCGGGCCAAGCCAGCTCCAACTCATACAATGGCAGGAAAAATGATCATCTTAAAGTATTTCTAGCACCATCGTAATTATGGGGGATTTGCGTGGCCACAGAAATATGAGCAGGAATGATACAAGAATGGTGGGTTTTCAGAACTGTCTTTCATTCTTTGGTTCGCCTCAGCCCATAAATAAACAGTGCTCATTTGAAAGTTTGTTCTGCTCTCTTTGTTTGTACGAAATGGAGATGATTGTAAATACAAGTTTCTGATGAGCTGCTCAACTTTTCTGAAATACCAGATACTTAGAGATATTTATTCCCATTATTTTTACAGAGGTAGATGCAGAGTCCAATTAAAATGTTCATATTGACACAATATTGGAAGTTACATTTTTTTTGATATTGATAGACCTGCAGTTCATCAGAGACCAATTGATCTTTAATATACAAATTTTTCACAGATTATACACAGATAGGCCCTTCTTAACTAATGTAGAACAAGTGAGTAAGGATAGTTGGTTTTTGTTTTGTTTTGTTTTATTGAGACAGAGTCTCTGTGGCCCTAGCCAGAGAACAGTGGTGTTATCATAGCTCATTGCAACCTCTAATTCTTGGCCTCAAGCAATCCTCCTGCCTCAGCCTCCCAAAGTGCTAAGATTTCAGGAGTGAATCACCGCACCTGGCTTAAGATAGTTGTTTTAAAATAAAATTCAGGAAAATGTATCTCCCAATCAAACTGTCCGACCTAGTATATTTATGATGTATTCTCCTACTTTACAAAGTTTGATTTTTCTTAAGTATATTAAGTAAGGTATTTAGTGCCCAAATTGTCTGCCCCAAATGCATGAAGCTGTATTGGCTTTGAGATTCATGTTTTATTCAGACAAATCTGTGTTTACATGCAATCACTTCTAAAATACCAACTTGTATGAAATATATGGATTTCAGAACTATCAGCAGTCTACTATAGGGTATCTATCTGCTAGGCTTAGAAACAAAAATATAAATAAGTTCGACATCCTAAGCTTTTTTAATTGAGAAAATTGTTTTTTTGATGATTCAACTGATATTTGTTTAGTGTATGAAACTCTAAGGGAGAAAGAACTTCATCTTATATTTCTCTTATCAGATTGACCTCAGCTATAATACAAGAGTTTTGAGTTTTCAGAATTGTCTTCCATTTCAGAAGTCTTTCATATGAAGAAACCGATAGTGCCTAGGGACAAACTGGTAATAAGGCATATGTGGGGAAAGGGGGGAAAAAGAAAATGCCATGGCTTTAAGGCATTTTGTACAGCTGTTAAATTGTTCTCACTTTTAGGAAGAAAGCTAGGGTGAAGAAGCAGGTAAAATTACTAAAACACAGCCCCCTCCCAAGAAAAACAGCTCTGATTGCATAAATATCCTGTCCTCTATATTTAATTTAACTAACAAATAGAAAGAGTTCAAATATAATATCTTGCTTTATTCGCCCTCTTGGGATTGGGAAGACACAACCAATAAGGTCATGGGCAATGGAAGAAGAGGTCTAATTCTTCTCTTTTCCACCCAGAGTTATTCTTGGCTCAAGGGGACGAGCATTCCCTTTCCCTGGGTGAATGACTTGGCCATCTGAAAAATCAGGCCAGCAGGGACAGCTCTGAATGGAACTGGGACACCAGTGCTGCCCCTCACCCCGCATTTGGTAACCCAGGGGCGTAAAGGTCCTTCTGCAGGTGGATTTTCTAATGCAGATAACTTAACTGCGCCTCAGGATCAAAGCCTAACATTTGAAATTTGCAGAGAATGAAGATGGCAGAATCTTTAAGCTGCGTACCTATCTGGGCACACCTGGTGTCATTGACGGGTTTGCTTGCAGAAAAAGGAAGAAAATTCAACTGAAGTTATTCCTGGAGAAGAGAAAGAACTTCCCCTCCCACGTTAAGGCTCTCGGGGAGAACAGGAATTGTTTAGATTCGATAGTTCCTTTCGAAAACACAGCAAAAGACTCATTTACTTATATTTTTCATAGACAGGATGTTTGGATTAATTCATTCAATACTGTTTCCTTTTTTTTTTTTTTTTTTTTTTTTTGAGACAGAGTCTCCTTGTTGTCCAGGGTAGGAGTGAGTGCCGGTGGGCAGTCAGCCCGCTCACAGGCAAACCCTCAAACTCCTGGGTCAAGGCAGTCCTTGCCTCAGCCTCCGAGGTAGCTGGACTACAGGCATGTGCCCCATTTGGCCCGGCTAATTTTTTTTTTTTACTATATTGATATCAGGTTGCCAAGTTAATTTTTTCTCGGCTATTTATAAGTAGAGACGGGGTCTCACTCTTTGCTCCAGGCTAAGGTTTCGGAACGGGACTTCTGGACCTTGAGCAATCCCGCCGCGCCTCGGGGCGCGCCTGCCCCAAACGGAGCGTCTGCTGGCTCCTCCGCCTAGGATCACTCGAGGCGGTGAGCACAGCCGCCGGCCCCGCTGCCTCGGCGCTCGGCCCAATACTGTGCGGTGGTTTTAGATGAAAAGGACTGAACGTCTATAAAAATCTCCTGAAATGAATAAATTTTTTCCCTCATGTTATATAACCTGTTTGCTCTATCGTATACATAAATGGAACCCTCAGTTGGGGGGAATTAACTTTAATTAGGACTTCGAAAGAACTAAATAAGTATGCAAACTTAATTGCTTGAAATCAAATTTTAATTAAATTCACCAGGAAAACTCAGTCATTTCATGAGAACACCAGTAACAATTATATTTTTATAGTAACTGACATCTCACTTTCGCCTCACGTCTTAAAAAACAAGAAGAACGGGGTCTGTCTCAGCCCCAAGATCTGCCTGAGAACTGGTTGGAAAGTACAGCTTTGGGGGGGCTTCTGATTTCATTTCTCAATACAATTAAAAGGTTAGGTCAGATAATTCCTTTGTTTGTTGAGAGCTAAACCAATCTGTGATTCATTGGTCTAGTTTGATGCAGCAAAACATTTCACATATTGTGAGATGCTTTGGGAGTTGCATAATGAGGTGGTTCCAATTGTATATCTTGGATTGTTGTAAAATGCTACTTCTTTTTTTTTTTTTATTTCAGCATATTATGTGGGGAAACATGCATTTTAAAGGTTTCATTATAATGCCTCCCCCTCCCCCCCACAAGTCTGAGTTTCCAGCATGACCATCCCCCAGATGGTGCACATCTCAAAATGCTACTTCTTCTCTGACTTCATTTCATAGAAATGAACAAGCATGAGACTTGTTCTAAATAAATAAGTCAATCAAGTTGGTAATACTAATATTTAGACCTGTTCTGAGTAAATCAATCAATCAAGTTGGGAAGTATTTGTGTGTGTTTTATCTTATTTTTCAACCAGCAGGAAATTTTAATTGCTGCTGCACAGATAATGTATGCATATTTATTATTTTTAGGGCAGTAGTGACTCATCTGAAGAAAATGAAGATGGTGATAGTTCAGAAGAAGAGGAGGAGGAAGAGGTAAGTAATCCTGCAGTCTTTTCGTAACAAACCAGACAGCCCCAGAAAAAAAAAAACTAGGAAACTAGCATACTGTAGTCTGAACTCAGCAAAAAGCCATTGCCATCTTACCAACTGCCCGCGGTCTTCTGTTTTGGATGAGTAGAATGTTCTTTAAATCGCAATCAACTAAAATGACCTGTTTAAAACACTATTGCTGTTTGGGGTTAAAGTTACCTAGAGGTAGTGCACAAAAACAAAAATGTCTCCATTTTAAGGGAAAGAAGTATGCAATCTGATAAAAAGCAACAGACAGTAGTATTTATATTTAGGCGGATAGAACATGATGACAGAAGACAAATAAATAGTCATTCTCAACTCAGGGCAATATTTGTTTTAAGGACCGGACTTTAAAAAAATTCAATTTACTAAGTGGGTAATGTGTAAAAGCTGGTTTATATTCTCTATAGTGTTATTGTGATTTACCTGTCTTTTATAATCTATGGAGTTGTACTTTTTAATGGGAATTTCATAGGTCTTTTTGTGTAGTAACAGAAGTCATGTTTTTATAGAACTGAAAATACTCAAGATGTATAAATGTCTTCCTGCAGAGTTCTACAAATTAGTGTAATTCATGGCTAAGATTCGTCTGCGTGTCTTGGGAATTGTGCTAACATGTTTCTAGCTGACACTCTTGCCTAAAGAAATATACCAATTAGGATGCATTTTCCTGGAGAGTCAATTATAGCTATCCACTGGTTGGCAACCTTCTAAATTTAGGTATTCCTAGAAG